ATATATATAATTAAGTATATTATACCTGTTACTGGATAGAAAGAAAAATTTTCATCGATAAACAGCCGGGTGTATCCCTCTACACAAGTATGAGTCGGAATGCTTTTTTCATTAACAATTTCTTGACATATTCCACAACTGTGTACAACAGCTACCTGAAAATTTCATTAAATTATTTCAATTTTAACAATCTTTATTCTGCTGTATGTAATGTTATCACAGTTAACCTTAAAATTATAACAAGCAATTGTCTCACATTATCAAGAAAGAAGACTGGGAGAAGATGCTGCTTATTTATTAGTTTATCAAGGACACAGGGAAAAACACTGTCAATAGCTAGGACGGCGAAACAAGAAGACAAATATAACCTAACGGTTTCACGGCGTTCCCGTAGAGGAAAAACAAAAAACAAGCAGTCGTTTATTCGATGTTTTAATCTCTGGTTTTTAATCTAATGAGTATTAGAAAAGTCTGTGTTTATTTATTTAATGTACTTACATCTTCCAGTTCCATGATGCACATTTCACATTTGCGCACATTTGCGACATTTGCGTACGAGCGACGTCGCTAAAAGTTGAGTTCAATCCAACTTTCCGAAGGCGTCGCTAGCGACAAGAAAGCGGACAAAAATGGGGAATTGTTGGTTCACGTGACCACTTATCGCAGCGACAAGCGACATCGTGAAATCGTACCTAGATCCACTCCACACCTCTGACATAGGGTGGGTAGGGTTATTTTTCACGAAGTGGAGCCCCCCGAAGGGGGGGCGGAACACACTGTCTTCACGTATACATTTTTCCATCTACATTTGGTGGAGGGGAGTGACTTATATGTAGGTAGAAAAATGTATGAGTGGAGACAGTATGTTCCGCCCCCCCCTTCGGGGGGGCTTCACCTCGTTAAAAATAACCCTACCCACCCTATGTCAGAGGTGTGGAGTGGATCTCGCTTCACGTGGAAAGTTGCAAACCCATGTGGAACAGTACAACGGCAGAAGTACATGCGTGGAGACAGTATGTTCCGCATGACAGATTTTCTAACACTAAAAGTTGTCAACTTTAACAATTAATATCTCTCTTCGCAGGGCAGTGCGACGATTTTGTCTGAGGAAAAAGTTGTTCCTCGTTGAAAAACGCGTCGAATGAGACCAATTTAATTGATTTTGGAGGTGGAGCAGCTATACTGAAGAATTACCATATATTTATTATTTGTATCCTTTCTCAGCCTGTATCTCCGAAACTATTTGAGTCCGGCCCTTATATATATATATATGAAATGACTCGGGAAGACAACCCCAACAACATATTTAAAAATAAAGCAAATCGGAGAGGAAGTCACTTTTATGCATAATTACCTAAAATTTATTGTAACATAAAAGTGACGTTAAAATATTGATATATAATATAAACTTTACTAAATATTTTCAAAAAGTGACGGATAAAAAATGTAAAAAATAATTCACATGCCAACGTCATTTATGAAAAAACTTGTGCTTAACGTTTTATGCGCTTTCATAGCATTTCTGATTCTCCTTCTTTTTATGCTTCTATTGTACTTAGTTCTTATGCATATATTCGTAAGACACGTTTACTCTTTGAATATAAAATCATCATTTTTACATATTTTAACAATTAGATTTATTGCGTTCTTTATAGTACATTTGTATGTGACGAGTTAATAATCGTGCCATAGATGTGTTGGCAAATACTATTTCCTCTGGATACGTCAGTTGTAAAATAATCCTATCACAAGACACACTTATTGTCAGTTTGAAAAAGAAATATCTCTTAACTTTAATCTTTTTGATGTCAAATTAACCTGATGAAACTCTGTTGAAAATGCTAGTCTCATATTCGCTACACGGCTACGCCGATGTAATTCCTTTCTGCCGTTACACGGCGCAGGCCTCTACGAGGCGATCATCTCTCTTTCTGCCGTTACACTGCGCAGGCCTCTACGAGGCGATAGTCGCTCGTCCGTTTCCCCCTCCCTTCCGTAGTGAGTGGTTAGGCGCGAGCGGCAGCTTCTGAGTAGTTCACCGACCGCCGCTGGGCCGCGCATGGTGGCGGCCGGCGACTCGGAAGCAAAATTCGGTCTCGGGGGCTATATAACGAGGCCCGCGTGGAGGCCAGGGCAGTATTCCAATGGGGTAACCTATCGGGACGATTCCCTTGCTGGAATAGTCCTCCATCGCATTCGCTGTCGGTTCTACCGACGGGAGCAGAGAACATCGCATTCGCTGTCGGTTCTACCGACGCCGCGACGGGAGCAGAGAGGCTGCAACCTGGGCGTCTGCAGTAACCAGCGGCTTTCCATGAGGTCAACTCAACGCCTTCCTCACCGCTACGGAAAAAGCGACGGCACACCACCCAGCCGTCCAGCTCTCCAGAGGAAGCTCTGCCAAGGAAGACGAGCCAGATACGCATTCTATCTGTGGTGACAGTACATCAAGCCGAACGAGTTACCAGACAGCCTCCGCAACGGCCAGAACAGCCTCTCCAGGAGGATTTCATTCCTACTACGCCGCCACGGGCAATAACTCCGGATTACACGCTCGCAGGCCTTTCTCCACTCGTTAGGCACGAGCAGCCAATCTCTCCAACTACATCGGCAACTTCACCAACCGAGACTATCGTACCGTGGTTATTAGAACGCTTAACGCTACCACCGCCGAGATTTAGCCGACCACGGCATCCACCCC